TTTAGAAGCAGGCTTTCTAGATCCAGCCAGTATTGTATATTTAATTTTCAGATTCCGTCTTCAGATCTTTGTTTACAATAACAGATGAAAAGAATTACTTTTACTTTCTGCCTCCATGTTCTTCTATTTTCCCTAAGGCAACAGTAATAAAGTGAGTTAAAGGGAATAGTGCTCATTTATTGCCAACTTTGTTTTTCCAAAGTATCACCAGATATGGCTGAGGGACACTTGTTAAGTTATACACCACTTTTTCTCTTTTTTTTCTTTTTCTTCTTTCCAAATTAAATCATTGCACACTGATGGATCTATAAGCCTATGGAATTGCTAATCTTCCTACGATTTAGGGAGGGGCTAGAAAACTTAAAAGGAAGCATAATCTGAAATGGCATATGAAATTTGGCTTAAATTAAGTATTATCATAACAAATGAGATGGTGAATTAAATTACAGCCATGTGATTCTGCCTGCATGAACCATAAACTCAATAACTAAGTGCCAGCCACACTTAAAGGCAAAGAAGCGTGCACAGAACTTAGCTATACCATGTATAGTGTAAAGAATCTTGCTGCTGCTTAATTGGGAGTAGGTTTCTGATCTAAAAAGATTCCAAATTACCACCAAGAGAACTATCAAGTACAAAAAAGTCAATCACAGTTGAATTCAGGTAAGAGTTAAGAACTAGGTCAAATTTAATGGCAATTAAATAACCTAAGTAAATGCCTATCTCCTATAAATTATAATACAGTCACTGCTGATACACACACACTTGTGCTGATACACTTGAGCTGTTAAGGGGAATGACCAGACAGTGTAAGTCCCTGTATGGCCTGTTTGCTCCTGTGACAGAGCATTTGTCAAAGCTTGCAGGTACCGAGTAAAAGTTCTTGGTGCTCTTTGTATCAACATTTATTTCTCACCAGAAACATCCAGGGAGAAGCTGATTTCATACAGCCTGCAACGTGTGTATAAGCATCTGTCATCATGTAGCTTGTCCTATGTGACTTTGTTGAAGTACCCATTGAAATTTTAAAGATTTATACAAGTCAAGGCCAGAAGGGACCATTTCAACAATTTAATTTGAGCTGGGATCTTTAAAAGTGGCTAAATAAATTAGATGATAGTCAAATCACACTTGAAAATAACATCCTAAGGTGCCCTTCAGAAACACATCTTTAAAGCTTTCAAGTCATAGGAATCTATCATTAGCTTTTATAGGGATTTCTCTGATTAATTGTGTACCACGTGAACTACTGCTGTGGCACCTCAGCCAAATCTAGCGCAGAGATGTATCGACTAGACAGCAGCCAAAACTGTTAAAACAATAGTAAATTAATAGTTTAAGGGCTAGATGAGCTTTCCAGTCAAGAAGCTATCCCTACCCTATCCCTACCTGCAAAACTAACTAGTGTTTCTGGTAACTTTTGTAAATCACCCAAGCTTTGCTTTGCTGGTTTATGACATCTCAGGAATGTCAGAGTGGAATTGTAGCCACAGGTTTTGAGGTTTTTTTTTTTTTTGCAGTTACCTATTATTTAACCCATATGTAATGCAGAGGTTGCCATGTGTTTCTGCTGGGTCCCAGGTGCCTGTGAGATCTTAAAATCAAAATATTGAGGCTCACTAGTGAAGGATATGACTAACAGCATGTCTGTACTTTAAGTTCAGTATAAAAGCTGAGAACTATTCCATAGAGACTTTGTCTTCTTTGATCGTTACCAAGGTCTGGTCAGGAATCGTGAGAAATATTCACAGGACTTACAGCAACCAGAATAGATCAAATGAGAGACTGAAGTCCAGAATAGCAAGAAATCCTCACAGAATTGCTCATTTAGTTGAATTACGTAAGCAAATATCTTATTTGTTATTTATAGCCTTTAATTTTTCATGAACAATGTTACTTTGGTGCTTGTGTGATACTTTATACTGAGGAAATGGAAATATATTGTAATACTACCTACTTACATGGGACAGTGATTGCAATTTTATTGGAAAAAATCTATATTTTGTGGGAAAAAGTGTAGCAGTTGACTCTTATCAGAGAAGTCCTGCTGTAAGTAAGTATTGCATAGACGGGGGGAGTCTTTCAGCCTCTCTTCTCAGTTACCCGTATTAAAAAAAAAAGATCCGAAGCATACTTTAAAAGGTTTATCTATCTATACAGTGAGGAAAGCTTAACTAATTAACATATACTAAGCCCTTTAAGAAACAGAAATGCAAATGACTGCTTCAGGAAGACAGGGATGTCAGGAGAGCGGGAACAGCCCAGGTGGGCCGCTCTCCTCCAGTCCCGGACGGACTGTCCTGAGCTACAAACCTGCTGCGCCTGGGCTGGCATGACTGACAGCGTCAGCACAAGGAATCCCTCTGAAGGAGTGAAAACGACAGTAAATTACCTCTTATAATTATGAGAGGAAATCTGGGAGGTCATAGCTGAGGTTAGCGGTGGGACAGAGCCGGGGTTAGACTTGCGCTGCAGCTGCTGCAGTGCACCTGGCCTATTAGTGGGGACTTGCGTTTTCAGCACTGACTTCCCCTGGAGATCAATAATTTAAAAAAAGGGTTTTTTTAAAAAAAGACCTCAATGTAGAAGTAGAGACTGTCATGTAGAAAGTTTTGAACCATCATGAGTGAAAAGTATGTAATATCTTAGCAGTGGTACATGCTGAAAGCAGTATTAAATCCAGCATGGTTATATGCCACTTTATTTGTCCTCTATTATTTCTCTTGTTCCATCTAATCAGAGTCTGTTGAGTTATTTTTATGGCCTTTATATTTCACACTCCCAAGGTAGTGACAATGGCTTTAAGGAATAAATGAGGGAGGAATAATAAGTTCCTTAAATGATCTGTAATCTTTATCTGTAATTACAGTTAAAGCAGTTACATTAAATACTTTGTTTGTACTGCTTTATGGCAAGAATAGGTAGCTGTAAATATTTAAAGATGGTGATCTGAACACACCAAGATACATATTCCATCTTACTAGTTGCCTACTAAAACTGAACCCACATTCCATATTACCTATGCATTTATTTGTATTTTTTTTTATTTTTCATATACACTTGTAGAGAACTCTGAAAAAATTAAAAAAGAAAAAAAAAGAAGAAAGCAAAACCACTCCCAACAACCCATATATATGTGAAAAATATTTATGAAAACAAACTATCTGATTCTAGCAACATTGTGCTGTACTACTGTGACCCTCAGGCTGGGCTGCGCTGTGTCCTGAGCTCTGGGCTCCTGCCCTGCCTTGTCCTTTTCCAGCAGCTCACGGGAGCGCTGCTTCTGATGCACAGGATCACAGCAGGGAGCCGAAGCGCCAGGGTGACACGCTGCACTGGAGTGGGGTATGGGCTTCACCTTTTACTCGTGATCAGCAGGTGTAGCTGCCCTAATATCATAGGAAGCAAAAAAATCATCAAGGTGAATAAAATAGTTATGTTATAAATAGTCCTCTCAAGCTTACCACAGTCAGAGGATGGGGACCTGAACTTCCCAGCCCACTCCGGAATAATAGTATCTCTATTTATGATGGATGGATTGGAATCAGTCTAGTGCAACATATAAAACATATGCTTTCTTACTATTGTGAATTTCTGGAAATAATTATTAAAAAATAAAAAAAGTATACTTTCATTCTAGGTGCTGAATCTTCTATTAATTTTCTAGGTTTCAACCCGAGCTATCAAAAAATCTACTTAATGTAATAACATAATACTTAGTATAAGATCAAGCTATGAGGTTAGTCAATTTGCTCCGACGTTTAACATTAGCCTTATTTTTTTAACCTTGAATGTTAGATGTTCTAGTCCTCACCTTGCAATGCACTCCTGAAAATTATTTGTGATCACGAAGGCGGATTAATTTCAATGCATTATTTCTATGTAATGAGATAGCCCAAGTACCTGGCACTTTAGCTATCCCTTCACATATACAGCTTAGCCCATATTTCTTAGCTTTTACCTAATCCACCTCTACTGTTCCCAAATGGCTTTTTATGAAGACAACTGTCCTCTACGGCCTAGGTAAAGACTGATGAAACTATTTTTATTATGACCTAGGAAATTATTCAAATGGAGCTCTCTAGAGGCATATGGTTGGCATTATGAATATTTTACAGAATCATCTCTGAAAATCAGGCCAATAGCATATACACACGGGGCCAAATTCCACTCTCAGCTATACCTTGGCAACCACAATGATTTCCCATTTGGCTATGCTACGCAAGTATTTGTTTGGGTTATTGTAAGCATGTATTTTTTTATCTTCCCCCCCCCCCCCTTCTTCAGCCCTGTCTTCCCATTTCCCATATTGTTCTTATAAAGAAGATAGTTATAATCAGTGTGGAATGATTATTATTTGGGGGCTACTGGCTATGTCTCTCCTGCCTCATAAATACAGGCAACAAGACGTACACAGGGATGAAGGAAAATGTACAGAAAATTATGCCTAGCCTAACAGTGTCTTTCCTGAGGCACCAAACCTGCTGCAGAATGTTTAAACCACTTTGACCTCAATCTTGCTATGAACTCCATGCAGGAAAGAGCTTAGGGAAACCCACTGATTCCAGGGAGATGACACAAAGAGAAGGCACTTCTTGGAACTCACTGTAGGACTGGGACCGGGAGCAGGGCAAAAATAGGTCAAAATATTATGTACCCTGAGATCAGGAGACAAGTATACAAGGGTTAATATTTCTTATTCTGATGTTTCTCCTCCCTTCTCTGTCTTGTTGATTTTTTTTTTTTTAATTTTTTTTTTGGTAGATAAATGCTATTTCGTTTGCATGATTTCCATTTATAAACTTAAACCCTTGGTCATGAAGACAAAATTTCATTATTTTGAATAAGAAGGATGAGATAACTGAAGACTGAACTTACGATCAGATGTTTGACCTTATAGAGGAGGAAAAATACTTTAAGAATTAACACAATAAGTCCTAATAAAATATTTAAAATGTTTCATAAAAGAAAAGAAAAATGCTAAAAAGATTTGTACTTACCAGAATATCTTTTCCAGCCCACTTGCACTCATCCCTTCGGGAATGAGATACAGGCCAAACAATCTAAAGACACAGAACAAAAATCACGTTGTGTTATTTTATGCTTCAATGATCACAAATTGCAGACCAAATGCTACAGATTGTCTTTACCCAGTTTCTCTTTCCCCCATTCTTTTGCTTATTTCCTTTTCTTCCATAGAATTTGTCAGCAAAGACATGAAATGATAGGAGCAACAAAGAGATAGGAAGAATCAAGTAAAAACAATCTTGAAATATAGTCTGTATTGGGAATCTCAGCAGTGAATCGTGAATATGAACAATAAGAGGGTTGACTCTCCGTTAATCCACTGTTTTAAATCTGATGTAATGGAAAGGAGACTGAGAAAAAAAATTGCAGATATTTATTAACAATAAATCAGATCTATGTGAAATGTGATCTCATGTTAGAGTTACAGCATCATAAATGAGGTGTTTGCCTCTTCAGTGTATCTATTAGTTCACTCTTTTATTAAGATTAGTTAATTAAATAATAAAGAAGAAGCTATGGCATTTGAAAAGCATCACACCATCAAAATAGAAATGTTTATGCTGTTCCTATAGAGCTTCCCTAACACAAGTAAACCTAAACCTAGGTTTACTGTAGTGTTCATTTAGCAGAAAATGGATCTCACCTCATACAGAGAAAATCCAGAGACCCTCACAGTCAATTATTCATGTTTTTTTTTTAAAAGCTTTTAGGAATTACATATAGAATAAAACATGATCTTCCCATAAAATGCCAGGCTATTCATTTGGGAGCCTCAGATAATGCAATATGAATGGCCATAAGTCTGGATTACAGCCTTGGTGTTCAATATAGTTTGTTAAAAGAAAGTCACAGGCAAAGTATTCAAAACCAAAAGAAAAAAAGAATTAATATGGATGACAGAAAAGGTTGAAAGAGATGTTATATATGACATTTGAAAATACAGTTTGCAACCGTGATTTTACATTCAAAATTTTCTTAAAACTTAATGGAATCCAAACAGCAATCCAATATCTTAAGTCTATAAAATAAGGCTGAAAATTTTATGAGTGCATTGTCTCTCAAAGGATTCCTGCTACTTCCTGTTTCTATTCTCAGCTTAAAATGTGCGGAGACATGTGAAAATTTAAATTTACTAGGTTGAAAAACATTAACCAAACTTCTGAAATCTCCCAAAAGGACCAGTTCAAGTTCAGTTCAAGATTTGGGCAAATATTTCTGTATTATTCAAACCAGTATTCTAATCCATAAAACAAATGGCTAGATGTTCTTATTCCTTATTCTTGAAGCACATTATTTTCCTCTAATTTGGTTTAAAAGCCATTTAAATTGAACTGGTTTTAATAGACTGGAAAGTTTGGGTTTTTTGAGTTGTGTTGCTTTGGAGTCGTATGTTGCTATCTGCACTTAGCCAGAAACCCTAGTTCTTTTTTACATGGTGGAAGCAACAACTCATGAAGTTTGAGCTCAAGTGCAGCCCTGGCTGCATTGTAATTTTGTTTGACATTTATTCGGTGGCCCTCCTCTCTTTAATAAGCAGATCCTCAAATTCTATAAGCCTTTTGTCTAGCCTTAAACCTAAAGTCTAAATTATAAGTCTGATCTTTAAATCTGTTGCCAACATTCAGTTCCATGTTACCAAAAGCAATTCTTTATGTAATATAGTAATATTTATGTATAATTTCTAATAGTGTTCTAAAGGTATCTGAATATGTAAGCATGTACGACATAATTCCAACCATTCTACAGAGCTGTTTTCTGCAATGCAAACACCTTCTTTCCTTTAATTATTCCAGATGTTTTGCACATTAAGCTATCAATCCCTCAGAGAATTCAAATAAATAGCTAGTTTCCTTTATAGCTGCTCTAAAGAGAATAGAAAAGAAAATACCCAGTTTTCCTTTTATCCTTTTTCCTTGGAGAATACAAATGAATAGCCTGTCTTCCCTCTGAACAGAAAACACAAGGTATTTATTGCTATCATCTTAGGAAGCTAATAGTCAAACGGGCAAAAGGTCAGGAACACCAAGAAAAAAAAAATAATCCCTGGGTATTGAAGCAATATGTCTCTCATAAAAGGGTACTCTCTGGATTTTAAAATGTGCCATCGAAATACTTAATATAACAAATCAAACCTCCATCCCATTGTTTACTTCCTTAGCATTTTGTCTTATTAAAATAAACGAAAAATGCAATTATTTATTTAGACTCCAACAAAAGAACACCACTGAACTGTTTGTCAGCTTTTAATTTGCTGCCAACTTTTACTGGAAAATTATATTCTACGTAAAGAATGACAGGATTTTATGGACCTATTCCTCTTTATTAATACTGGATCTGAAACAGCAGAAGCAGAGTGCCTACACATGCTGGGTTAAAGGAAAAAAATCAATTCTCGGACTCCAAAACAGCTTCTTTTTATCTGCAAACAACTACAGAGTAATAAGACCTTTTTGTGTAAACAGTCATAATAGTTGTTTGGGGTTTTTAGCTGTAAACATGAAAGTATGTCTTGTTTGGGAAATAGCTGGGGTATTCACTTATTTACTTTTTCATAGTCTGAAAAAAGTATTGTCGATTATACAGTCATAGGTTATAAGCTCATTACACATGTTTCTTCATAGACTCAGCAAATGTTTTTGTTGTTATAGCGTTCCTGACATCCAAACACTTAATACATAATTCATACAGTGCCCAACATAATCTGAGTAAAAACAATTCTGCAACATTAAAAGTATATATTTACATTGTACAAAACACAAATGAAAGTACCTTTTGATACTCCTTGATGTTAACCAGGTTGAAAGAAAATATGTGATCCTTTGCTCCAACGTACAGCCGGCTGCGTTCTTCATCCAAGAGGAAAGTATGGTAACTGGAGCTATTAGCTAGTCCATTGAAATTTATTATATTGTTGGATTCCAACATTTCTGCAAGATAAAGGTAATGCTTTCATTGTTAATATGGTCAAATAAAATACAGACTTATATTTGGACTTGTATGGATTTCATTTTAGGAATTTATACTTATGAAGTAGAAACCAAGGAAAGCATTGTATACCTGGGCCCATGAATGTTTTTATTTCAAGTACTCAAACCCAAACTGCTTGTGAGATTCAGCTCTACACAAACAAAGGTCAAAACATCAGTGAAATCAATTAAAAGCCTGTATGAGGTTTTAGGGGGCAAAATTCCGTCCATGTAACTCATCAACTGTTGGACAAAGTTCAGTTTTGTTCAATCAATGAGACTTACAAGGATAAAACTGAGGATGACCAGCTGATAAAAACCACATCTAAACACAAAATTTCCTACTTCCAGCATACAAAACTATTTCATACGGATCTGTAAGTTATGAGAAAGGTGATAAGAATGACTAGTTGCCAAGATAAAATAGCATGTACAATCTATTATTACATGTATTATTATCTTCCCAGCTTACTGACACAGGCAGCGTGTTTTTCCCTTGCTTGGAATTGTGTATTTATCAATCACAAGAATAAAACTAGAGAAGATAATTTTGCTTCTGTTTAAACTCAGGAAAAAATTTTCTAGTTCTCATACTCCTTACAGAGCCATTGCACTTGCCAAGGATAGAAATTTTTTTTATGCACAAGTATCCACAGAATCCTCTTAGCTATTCACAAACATCAACAAGGACATACACATTTTCCTGAAACTGCTTAAAAATATTTTTTCCCGTAAGATAATACAGACCATATTAGTATAAACTTTTGTGAAAACACTCTTTCTTTATTCCTGTCTACCTACATTCATATTGGGACCAAAGCCAAATCAACTCTATCATTTCAAGGCATGCCTGCTCTAGTAAGTCATCGATAAGAAACTTTCCCTGTGATGACAAATCCTACGCAGTTCAAGCCCCGACCTTGTGATGTACAGGGGCAAACACGCAGTTTTAGGAGCAGGAGCAGTTCCAACGATGCCAGTGCAGCTCTTCACACAGCACCCATGAGGACAATGAGAAAGGGAGCAGATCCAGCAAGATCCCAGGGGTGATGGCTGGAGGGCACAGCCAGATCCTCAGGCATCTAAAGTCTGTGTTTGCTCTGCCATATGTGCAAGCCAAGGACACGTGTCCCTCCTCGAAACAGCTGCCAAATGCCTAGACGCCTAGGATTTGCCTAACAGCGCAGCTACCTGCTATGACTTTTTGGTTTTCAGTAAGATGACTCCCATTTTTCACCATTACTCCAGCTGATGAGTGGGCATAAGATAGCATCCCCTATGCTGCTAAAAATCAAGGTAAAGCCACTGTTAAAGCAGAAGCTTCTGCTTAATTTTCTTTTTAAATGGATTTTCTTCCTTTTCCCCCCTTCTTTTATTTTAACCAGAACAAAGAAGACATCAGGTGGAGCTTTTTTGGACCTACATAATAGTGGTACTTATGATTTTACAGAATTTCAGCACCCGCAGCTTAGTAGTCCCACAGATGTTAAACCTATTTTTCATTTATACCAGGTGGATTTTGAAGCAGGCTGATACTCTATAATGGCAAGAATTAGTAGGCAACATATTCAACGAAGATAAAGATACCACAGAGCTGTATCCCATTCAGGCTACCTTTGCACTAGTATTCTTTGCACTTATTTGGAAAAATCCTCACTAGCACCAAAAAGAGTTAATTTGCGTAGCCGTGTAGCAAAGTATCAGAGCATACACTATATTTTGTTCCTTATTCTATGTTTTCTCTTGCTAAATATAACTATACATTTCTGTTACAGAATACTTTTTAAAATTTTTACTGCTCAAGACTTAAGTTCTCAATTTATTTTTTTTTAATTAAAAAAAAAAAAGTAACAAGAAGAAATCAAATCACCCCAAGCAGTCTTGTCAAAATAATTCTTCTGGCTTCCTGCCAAGCTCTAGAATTTGACTGTATTGTCCTCCAGTTCACTTATTTGCATTTTGTTAGAGACTTTACTAATTCTCTTTACATTGTAATGACTGATTCAGATGTTGAATGTCGACTCGCTGAATAGTGAGTGATGCAGGTGATTGATTGCTTAACTTGTCTTAGAACTCTTGGCTAGAAATGCTTTGCTGTCATCTGTATCTGATCATTTTTCTTATAGCTGTCAAAAACCTTTGTAATTTTTTCATCTTTCTTGGTTTGAACTCGCATAGGTATGATCCTGCCCTCTGTGGCTGTGGCGTAAGACAAGTGTCTGCTGAAGTCAATGTTACACAAATGTAAAACTGATATAAAAGGAAATAAAATCAGTTAGGCACACAGCTACTTGGTTTAAAACAAGCCTGATATGATTTTGCTAATGCAGAGTTCTAAATATTCACATCTATAGACGTATAGATGTTTTCTTTTCTTTCTAATATTCATGAAAAATGCCAGATCATAACATTGGAGTCTAAGGTTTATTACAGCCAAGAGTAAATTACATCACAATCTTCCCTGCTCATGTGTCTCCACAGTGTAACTTAAAAGGACGAGGTGTAGCTGTGCAAGGACATTTTTTTTATTTTCTTTCTGTGACTCCTTAGAGTATGGAACAATGCTAAAGGTAACACTGGTGGGTTTTTTTGTGACCTTGCAATTTAAAATCACACTCAAAGCTAAAACCCTGTTGTCTTCTCTAAGATTAGGACATTTCTCCTGGGTTTTAATCCGGTATCTGTTGTATTGTCTCATTATTGACTTTTGCAGATGACCAGATTTCCAGGGTCTATTACCCAAAAAATTAGGCCTAAGCATATTCCAAGCAGTGTATTTCAAATCATGTGAAATCAGGTTTCTCCTCATCAGGAATCAAGTTGAGAACATAGATTAAGGAGAAAAATGTCATTCGTGTGTTGATGATTCTCATTCACTACTAATTTAGTTAGGATTGAGTTACATCAGAACTAAGAGATGAAAACCTAAATAATCTCTGCAGTTCTCTGCTGTTTATTCTAACTTACATGTATTTCTCCAGTGATGAATATGGCTTCATATAACATTCTCGAAAGGGCTGTTGAAGAGCAAAATAATGGCATTTGCACAATCAATACAAATTAAGTATTCTACTTCCTCAAATTAATTAGTTTCAAAGTGTTTACCATCCAGTGTCTTTCCAGTATCCAGCCAGTGACGATCACTGAGAGAATGACAGAAACAGCAGTGACAGGGCACGCTGCCAGAAGGGCACCGACATCCATCAACCCTGTTAAATGTCGATCAGTCATGATGGCAAGGTATGTGGCTGATCAGTTCTAAAATAAACCGGGATTTACAGCAAAGATTGCATTGCAATGCCAAGAGGAAAATAATTATCAATTAAATTAATACTATTAATACTAAGTACTATGCATACCCTATTTCTTTTCCATTTTTTGTTGCTGCTCTTATTAAAGGTTGGCATTTCCATGACCAATGCAAACAGATAATGGTTACCTGTACTTAAAGTCATTTTTTACTTCCTCTATGCTTTGCCCAGTTATTTTTATTGCAAAGATGGTAACATTACTCCACCAGATGTTGCAGCCAAGTACCATTTCTTCAGTAATTGCTCAGAGAGCGTTTTCTTATTTCCTTTTGACACATCCTCAGCTGTAGTCATTCCTGTTGTTTTGAACAGGAATGAATGAACTCTATAAAGCTAACCACTGCACATTATGACCGTACTGTTGTCTATAAAATGCTGTATGAGGTAGATTTAGAGTGGGTGGTGGTATTTTGAAGGTAATAAAGACTTCATTGCTGTTGTTATTGGTACTTACTTCCCACATTTATCAAGAGTTTTGGAGGCAGACAAAACTAACAGTTTGAAATACACCTTATCTTAAAACCCCCTCATATTATAATGAATTTTCACTTGTGATGCTCACTGAAACCAGCTACAGGTTGAGTTTCTCAAGGTTTGTGGGTCAGATTCTCCTACTAACCACTTCACTTTTCAGTTCTTTCACCTTTAATTCACTGTCCTGACTTGCTTGCTCCATCTTGCTCTCCTTTCTCTGCCAGTGTCCAAACTTGAAGTATTTGACCTTTTTCAGCATGCCTTTCTGTAGACTCTGCATGGCCTTTCTTCTATCAACTGGTATTTCTGTTGATCCAGTCTGCCTTGTTTCAGAGCATTCACTTTGCCAAGCCAAGCTGGGAAATTTACAGAAGAAAACCAGTCCCTAATTCTTGCCTTCCCTTTAATACATGGTTATTTAATTTGCTAATGGAATCGTTACTTAATAGTATGTATATGCACAGAGGGCCAAATTCCTGCAGTGAAATCCGTGGAGATATGCATGCACAAGGAATGTAGATTTGGTTTATTTTTATGACACTTTTTTCATTAAATAATAAGCCAGAAAACCACAGCTATAGCTAAGATGAATACAGTCAGGCAGATCCTGAGGTTTGCTTTATCCAAGGTTGGTATTCCACTGTAAACCTTGTTTTATGTCTGTGTTCCTTCAGAGGAGTTTGTCAAGAGGAGAACATAACAAAAGAAAACCATCTTATTTTTTACTTATCTACTAGCAGGCAAACTATCTTTTTAGTGAGAGGGAATTTGTCTATGTAACAAGTTAGAAAATTTGTGAGCGTTGGCCTGCGTTCTTGCTGTAGACTTCATGATAACATTCCAGACAAGATTATTTTTGTTGATAAGGATCAAAGGGCCATATTGATTTCTAGAAAAATCTGAGGGAAGGTCTCCCAGTTTCCTCACTAGGATTCAGATCTGGCCCTGTCCTATTACTGGTGACTCCGCAGAGTGACTGGATTACACAGGCAGTTCTGCTCGTCACAACACGCTTGTGAATCAAGTGAGTGGGTTGCTGGTTGCACAAAATTCTCGACCTTCATTCCTTTGCCAGCAACGATAAGATCTCACTGTATATCTCCTAGCAGTAGATAAACGATGAGTCAATGAGTATTATGCCATCAAACAGGGATTTTGCTGAATTGTGAGCAATGC